AACGTTTATTCATAAGGGATCAAATGACCCCTTATGGTAAGATAGGTATATGCAAGGGATCAAATGATACCCCTTATGGTAAAATAGGTACATGTAAAATGTCGGTACGTTTAGTGTTAATGGTAATGTGCATTAATTATTTCGCAAAAGTGTACAGAGAAATTTATCGGAACCCATTCGTACGATTTGTCTTGATTCAATCTTATTTTCTACATCTCCTAATCTCTCTTGGATCGAACAATCTCTACCTTCGTGAAATGTATATCGATATATCGACCATTATACGATTTTTCCTTTGGTACTTGCGAAACAATCAAGGATAAAAGAAGCATACTCAAATCCGTACTAAACGTGTTTTACGTGTTACCTTTCTTGGAGATTGTCGGATAATCGTGCATCAGTGATTTCCTTGTACGGTGCGATCGACGCCACACGGGACGTTATTATGCTGTAAGCTATAAAAGTGGTCACGAACACATGCACCCAACAAAGTTCAATTCGAGCTTACGTTATTATTAATAACAAAATTAAAAATAAAAGTTGTCCAATTCTTTTGTTCTTTCTCCCTGTCAGTTTTCTAAATTCTTATTATTACTGTGAAGGGAAAGATTATTTATAGAACTGCTTGATACACCTTGAAATGTTATGGTACTTTGTAGATTTTTGTTTGTCTGCAATTCGTTGAAAACTAAATCAGAATGCTGACAAAAATAAAAAAAAAAGAGATATATACGAAAAAGATTGGACAAGAGTAGCACGCATTGAGAAGATTAATCTTTCATCTAAATATTTGAAGATATATATAGAGCGGTCACCGTAAAATAGACACGAGAAATTCTACGATGGAAGATAAGCGGTTTACCTAATCTTTTCTATTCTTTTCGGCTTTTATTTCTTGAACAAGTAGCTTTTTTTTGATCGGAATTCATAATCATTTAGTCGTTGTTAAAAAAATAGGATAACGATCTTCTTGCGACGATATACACTAAAACTTTTGTATTATTTGAATATTATTTATTTCATTATATGATTTTATTATAATATATTGATATTATAATAAAAGATTATACTGCATTTTATTTTACAACGTTTAACCTTAAATAATCTTACATTGTATACACATTTTCGCATATCATTTTGATTAATCTATAATTAACTCTGAAAGCTTAAGGTTATATATTTGTATAATATATGCAAATATATGTATTTTTACTTTTTTTTCCTTTCTTTACCTATATTTACAACAAGTATGTTAATATATGTCAATCTGCTACGAGAAAGTAGTAAAACAAACCAAAAACAGATACATAATCATTTTCAAGAAAATTTTGCGTTATTGACCATAATTATTTTCATATCACTGTAGGTATTACAATACTCTCTCAATATCTTTCCTTCTATAAATTTAATCATTCGTCGGAAATATTCATGTATCATAATAATTCTAATAATAATGTCATTTTTCAGCATTAGGACTTACATGCTATTGTGAAGGACATTGCCCAGATGATAAAGAAAATGGAACTTGTGAAGGTAGACCTGGTGGTCATTGCTTTAGTGCAGTAGAAGAAGTTTGGGATGCAGAATCAGGAGAATATGTGCCTGAATGGTCATTTGGCTGTTTACCACCAGATGAGCAAGGTTTCATGCAATGCAAAGGATACCTAGTGCCACATTTTCAAGGGAAAAGTATAATATGCTGTAACAAGAGTGCATTGTGTAACAAAGATGTATATCCTCATTATAAACCCCGAACTACCACAGTACCTAATCCTATGGCCATAGCTTCGGGTGCACCACTTATAATATTGACTACCATTTTGTCTATATTCTTAGTGGTAATTTCAATAGCTATAGTGATCATATATCACAGATACAGAAGAAAAGAAAGAGGCCCTTGCCTAGTGCCTTCTCAGGGAACACTTAAAGACTTTATTGACCAGAGTAGTGGCTCTGGTTCAGGATTACCTCTTTTAGTACAACGAACTATTGCCAAGCAACTAGCCTTGTCTCAGTGTGTTGGGAAGGGACGTTATGGTGAAGTATGGCTTGCAAGATGGAGAGGTGAAAAAGTGGCAGTGAAAGTATTTTTTACATTGGAAGAAGCATCTTGGTTTAGGGAAACTGAGATTTATCAAACTGTGTTAATGAGACACGATAATATTTTGGGTTTTATCGCGGCTGATATCAAAGGTACTGGATCTTGGACACAGATGTTATTAATTACAGATTATCATGAAAGAGGTTCGCTACATGATTATTTGCAAACTACTGTCCTGGATCATCATAGCCTTTTAGCAATATGTCTTTCAATTGCTTCTGGAATTGCTCATTTGCACACAGAGATTTTTGGTACACGTGGAAAGCCTGCTATAGCTCATAGAGATATCAAAAGTAGAAACATTTTAGTGAAAAAGAATGGTGAATGTGCTATTGCTGACTTTGGTTTGGCAGTAAGATATATAAGGTAAGTAATAAATGCATCATTTGCAAATGTATTATGATTACGCAAACGCATGTGTTTCCTATATACATATATGAAATAATCATAGTAAGACTCGATTCAGTACTTGATTTGTAATTTGACTGTAATATATATAAAAAATACAAGATGATAACATTTTATTTACAGTGAAAGTGGAGAAATTGATATTGCACCTAACACACGAGTGGGTACCCGTCGATATATGGCTCCAGAAGTTTTAGATGAAACTTTAAACACATCTTCCTTTGAAGCTTTCAAAATGGCAGATATGTATTCTGTTGGTCTTGTACTTTGGGAAGCTTGCAGAAGATGCGTTACAGGTGGTAAAAGTTCTATGGTGGAACCGTATGCTTTGCCATATCATGATGTTGTTCCAAGTGATCCAGATTTTGAAGACATGCGATTAGCAGTTTGCATAAAACGATTACGTCCAATAATACCAGCGCGATGGGAAACTGATTCGGTAGGAAAATAAAATCAGTTATGTCGCGTGGTATCTTATAACAATTGTATTAAAACTAAGTGTCTTTGGCTTTTGTTACAGATTTTGTTTGCGCTGAGCAAGTTGGTAACCGAATGTTGGCATGCGAATCCAGCCGTTCGTTTAACAGCGCTACGTGTGAAAAAGACAATATCAAAACTACATATTGATAATGCTATTAAAATCGTGTAACATTCGACGATATTCTATCTTACCGCTAATAGCCGAGAAATAATTTCTTCCCTTGTAAATAACCCGGTGTACATAGATTTATTGACAGACTGCAAGCCTGAAGACTGAATATTAAGATTTAAAATACATGAAAACGTATGAATGTGCAAATTTATATGATCAAATGAATGATCAATTGTAAATCAAGAAGAAAGGAATTATGAGTGGATGTTGTGTATGTGTATATATTTTTTGTTTTTAAGTGAAATGTGACAAAACATGATAATGCCAATGTTTTAACGCGCTTCACTATGTTGAAATTTATTGAATATGTAATTAACGATGGCTACTACTTAGTAAGGATAATTTTTTTTTCAACCAAAAAAAAAAAGAAAAAGAAAGAAACACATATGAACGTTAAACAGAAAATTTCAAATAAATTTAGTAGTAGAAAGTTAGTAGAAAAAAGGAAATGCCGTTTCGACGATAGCATTTAAATTTACCGTATTTATTCAGTGTTATGAATTTATACGTATTAAATCCCACCATTAACAGAGCGGTGTTAATCTATAATATTTACATGCCTTTGATATATTTGTCATTGAAAAGTGAAATGAACAATTTTAATCGGAAAATGAGATATCTTGCAAGATATATGAAATTTTAAGTCGTTTGTAGATAAAAGAACAATCTTATGTTCAGGACGTATGAAATATGTAGCGATTGTAAAATACAAATATTTGAAATATTCTTATATGTCAGAATATCTCGAAATATGAGGTAAATTTTATTAATATTCAGTTTCCATAGGTTCTTTTTTTTTTATTACGCTTATTACCGAATTCTGAAGTAGAAAAATTATTTTTCACTAATATCGTTTTCCGTTGTCTTGATTCTTACGTTAAGTACTGTTTCCCTTTATATGATATTGTATTATCTACATTGTAGTATATATTTATATTTTTAAGTTGACAAATGAGATATATTATTTCGTTCAATTTGTCAATTGTTAAATTTTAAAGCTACGTTTTGCCAATGCAATTTTATTTGCGAAAATATTTTGTAAGATCTAATATTATTTTGATAGAAATACAAATATATCGATCTGTTCTAAATGATTAAGTGTTTAGCATATCGGTGAAATTTACAAAGATTGAAAGTAACAAAAATTTTTGTTGAAAATTGTTATAATATTGTGTATTCGAGTTTTGAATATCTAATTATAGATTGTCATCGTATACAACAAATTCCATGACTGGTGAGTTCGTAAGTTTTCTATGAAAATGAATTGTATCTGCGTTAAAGTTATGGCTAACGATTCGTTGATTGCAAATAATTAAATTTATATTTTTCACAAGGTCTAAATTTAATATTATTTTTTTCATCCATACACGCAATACTTTTGTTTCTTACGATTAGACAGGATTATTGTCCTTTGTTTTTCATCTATCTAAGAACAGTTATACATTGCAAGGGAATTTTCTTTCTCAGTTCTGTTGTAGATTGAACGTAAAAGCGTTGGTCGTTTGAATAAAAAAAGTTTCATGGATAGAAAATCAATACACACTTGATACGCAGCATGATTATAAAGTTATAAAGATTCAGGAGTAATGTCACTAGTAAAATGGAATGAAAATTTTAACTGTCAAATTATCGTAACGAATATTGAACACGGATGCTTTCAGCACAAATAAAGTTGGAGAAATCGCTATTGTTCTAAATTATATCATTCTAGTCTCTACTTCAATTGTATCAAGACAATTTTAAAATATAATTTTTCGTAAAGAGACTAAGATCGTGTGATTAAACTTATTTCCCAACGTATATCACGGACGTTTAGTCCGTAATAGGAAATTTGGTTCTCAACAGTTGGCAATTCTGAGTTTCGCATCGAAAGAGACGCCGCGGCGCTTTCCACTTCCCGGTCTGTTTCGATCCGCCATTTTTTAGGTAGGAAAGCGTGCGGTTTGCCGTTGTGTTTTATCGGAATTATTTTACGGAAATACTGACTTGGTAAGTGTTCCTATACTCTCACCACGTTTTACACGTAATTTGTTATAAGATAAAGCTAACATATTGATATAGAAATACATTTATACGGTTGCAACAGTGGATCATGTAGTTATGGTTTATAGCGTCGATACGCAGATATCCGAAGCACGCCATTTCACGTTTATTCAATTCCGTAATTCCGTCTATAAATTTCATACAAGCGTTTGACTTCTTTTTATTAAAATGTAAAAAGTAATTAATCTTAGTAGTATGTGATATTATCATTAAGTTGTTTTGTATATCATTATGGATATACTGATGCCAGTCGAATTCGTGGTACATACGGTTTATGCTGCCGCATATTACTGATCCAACAAATTTTCATTTCGATGCTCGGTGCATAATATTTTCTACAATGATAGTACTTAATACTTTACAATTTCAAAATATAAAACATGTACTTGGCATAAACTTAGTCTTGAAATTCATTGTCCGCATCGTACATTGTTTGAATCGCAGAGGTATTAGCGTATATTTTTATATAGAATTTTATACAAATATTAGTAATTATATTAGTAATTATATTACGTTAATAATACGATTAATGTTGGTCATATGTGGTATTATCGTAAAATCGTGTGCGGAAAAATTATAATTAATGATTTACACAATGATTATCGTTAATTTAATTTTCAACATTTCATGAAATTAAATTTTTACAATCGCATTTATTTTTAAGGCGATTATATATATATATATATATATATTTATGAGTTTTTCGCGTGCGCTGAACGTAGCATTCTGAGAACAGTTCTTAATATATTAATATTTCGATATTGCATGTGAACAAGCATGTACCTACTTATATATATATATATATAGTATGTATGTATGTATATAACACTGTGCGTTACGCTCAAAGAATGGAAATTTAATTTGTCCCATTCTGAGAACGAGAAAACGTAGAATTAACGTTGGTAAGAGAAAAAATGATTAATTTAACGTAGAAATAGTTCCCGCGTCAATTTATTCGCAATACATGAAATATAGTCAAAGGTATATTCGTGATAGGTTTTTGAACGCACCATTCTCACGGTTTGCTGTACTGCAGTTTTCCGATAGGGGCCACTACCTCGACATCTCTCGAACTAGCGGACGCGGCAAGTGAGACGCCATTGTTAGATTGCGTTCTCTCGTGTAAAGTCGTGTGTGCCTAGTATCAGCGTTGGTTAACTCGTTCGTTGAAAATAGTACGCAGTAATCTTCGGTGAGTGTAAAACATCATATGGTGTGTTTGAACGTAAATTTATACATGATAATTAGAGGGTGATCATCACTACGGACATTTCCTAGAGTTGATGCGCCATTTCGACAAGGTCGGTACGCTCTCTGTACTACGTATTTTGTAACGTACTACTTGTTCATGGCTTGTGTATCTTTTCATTGTCCAGTCGAAGTAGAAACTAGAAAAAACATATTATTCTATATCTAGAGCTTGTCGAACTAATATTATTCGCTAATATTTGTACGGATAAATTTAATTTTTTGACGAAATTGATGACCTTCGAAATTCGAATTCGTTAGCAAAATGGTGGAGAAAAGATCACTAGAGGGAAAATCTAAACAATCGCGTCACCATTAGTTATTCGAAGTTACGTTCCACTTTTTTCTTCCGCGTAAAGTGGAAACTTGCGAATATTACGTTATAATATTCGATGTTTCGTTCGTTTTAGCAGCAAATTAATTATTTGTTGGAAATACGTAGTGCAGTACAATGTTGAGTGGCGTGTGTTGGTTGAATCATGTTGCCAACAAATGAAAACGCAAGAAGTCGTGAATATTCTAGAAATGTTAAACGGTTTTTTAATGTTGTTGCAACATTGTATTTATTTTTTTCTCGATTTACTATATATTTGGAAGAATTATGCGTCAGCGATGAGTAATATTTGAAATATTTCTTTCTTTTGAAATTAGGTTCCAGGACGAGCCGAAAATGCCGGGTTTTAGTAGCGTTGGCACGTTTAAAATTTTCATCGGTAATTTAGCCGACAAAACATCAAATGCCGATATTAAACCTCTATTTGAAAAGTATGGCAAGGTTGTAGAGTGCGATGTGGTCAAAAATTATGGATTTGTGGTAAGTTCTTTTTTATTCCATGCAACATACGTTCTTGTTGTAATAATTTGCTTGGTCCATCATTTGCTTCATTCTTAACTTGCATTAACTTGCACATATAACT